TGCGAGGGACACGGTCGAATGCCTTCTCCAGATCCATGAAACACATGTGGACTGGTTGGGCAAACTCCCATGAACCCTCCGCCACCCTGAAGAGGGTATAGAGCTGGTCCAGTGTTCCACGGCCAGGACGAAAACCGCATTGTTCCTCCTGAATCCGAGGTTCGACTATCGGTCGAATTCTCCTCTCCAGTACCCTGGCATAGACTTTCCCGGGGAGGCTAAGGAGTGTGATCCCCCTGTAGTTGGAACACACCCTCCACCCTTCCACCCCAGTCTGCCAGTCCAGAGGCACTGTCCCTGACCGCCATGCGACGTTGCAGAGGCGTGTCAACCAAGACAGCCCCACAACATCCAGAGACTTAAGGTACTCAGGACGGATCTCATCCACCCCCGGTGCCTTGCCTCCGAGAAACTTCTTAACTACCTCAGTGATTTCAGCTTGGGTGATGGACGAGTCCACCTCTGAGCCCTCAGCCTCTGCTTCCTCATCGGAAGACATGGCGCCAGGGTTGAGGAGATCCTCGAAGTATTCCTTCCACCGTCCGACAATGTCCCCAGTTGAGGTCAACAGCTGCCCACCTCCACTGTAAACAGTTTTGGCAGTGCACTGCTTCCCCCTCCTGAGGCGCCGGACGGTTTGCCTGAATCTTTTCGAGGCCGACCGATAGTCCTTCTCCATGGCCTCACCGAACTCTTCCCAGACCCGAGTTTTTGCCTCCGCAACCGCCTGGGCTGCAGCCCGCTTGGCCTGCCGGTACCCGTCAGCTGTCTCAGGAGTCCCACGAGCCAACCAGGCTCCTTTAATGTTTTTATTTTCTTTTTTTATAAAGGCCATGCAGTGCTGTTCTCTCCAACTGGGTGGAGCTGAGACGCTGCTGGTTAGCTTGGTTTATTGTCAGATTGTAATTACAATGCTGTGCCTTTGTTTTGGAAACAGGCAGCTCATGAAGATGTTTGGAATAATCTTTCATGCAGATGCTTAAAGGGACCCTTAAATTAGCTTGATCACAAGGCAGGGACTATAGCCACTGGCACTGTCTCAGACAGAAACTTTCTCATTAGAAATAGAAATGTCTGTTGGGGCGTGTTGCGTTGGCCTGTTTACAATAACCTAAATAGGAACCAGCGACTTCGTCTGAGTTTCAGGGAAGATTTACAGATGTATGACATACTGTACATTTTCTGCTGTCTTTTTATAAGCCTCATATTTTCAGGTATCCAATCCTATTCTGAGTAAACAGAGAAAACAGTGCAGCCGCCATGCTATCTGTCATTGCCAGAGAGCTGTATCCACTATGATCTGTTGCTGCTGTCAAGCTGT